CAACGATTGAGAAAGTTGGTCAATTCAAAGGATGAAATATTGCGACACGAGCCGAAGGCGAGTTTAGTAATTCATCCGAATGAAAATGGCTATTTCTGAAGAAGTGAACACTATTCTTTTTCTAATTTTATGAAAGAATTAATTACAATTACCACAACACAGTGTCAATAAAAAAAAACAATGAACCACCGTATAATCATCCTAGTAACGATAAATACTACTGTGGAAAAAAGTAAAATCTTGTCGTCTTATTGGACCCGTGAAGAAAGAGAAACATTTTTTCTACAGTTTAAGACTGAGCCACTTTCTCAATTGAAAACCTATAAAATATGTACAAATTCTTTAATATGATTAAGAAAATAGCTATTATCTTCAATCAAAAACTTCTTAGGCTGTAAAAATAATTTAGACCAATCGGGTAAAGTTTGTAAACTCCTAGTTTGGTAAACGTTAAATGGGATTTAAATCTTTATTATTTTCTTAGTAAAATACTGCAGCTATAATTTTTTAGTGTATTGCCTTCAAAATACATTTAACTTAAAATTTACTTGCCTAAATATCAACTATTTTATGGTTATGTATACTTGTCATTTAGACAGCTCTGAAAATTAGAAAACCAGTGGGATTCAGATTCAGGGGGGGATCTAGAAAAATATTTTGGGGGGTTTTTAAAATATTTATGTAGATTAGTGTGGTTTACATTTTTCTATGTAATGATAAAATAATATTCGTATCTATAGAGGAACAGGAAAGGCTTAGGCTCAAGCAGGCGTTGATGTAGCTAAGAAAAGTAAAATTTAATCGTTCATTATTATATTTGATACGACAGCAAGTCCTGGTCTTTACATTGGAGCTATGTAAAAATTGTTCCAGAAGCTGAACTATTCAACAGCTCTCAGAAAGTATAACCAACTATTGATCAAACTGCTTATAGCGCAGCTGAAATTGGCATGTTTTGGAATCTTTACTTAATAGTTTGAGGAAAGAATTTCTTATAAAAACAGCAACCACGAAACGATTATAAGAAATTTTTAATCTTGTCCTTTTATTTCTTGTTGGATGAAATGCGGTTCGGGCCCTAACATCATGCTTGATAGATATCAAAAGCCATTTATGTCTTAAAGATTTCCGTTACCGTTTTCAAAAACAGTTTCTTTTAACAATAATTGTTAATTAATTATTAAAGAAACACAGAATTTTAAATATTTAGCGCTATTTGTAAGCTTGGTTTATATAAAATATGGAAATAAAGATCCACTTAAATTAGAGCATTCTATAATTATATTCAGCTCTAAGGTATCTTAAACATTTATTCTGCATTTTGCATTTTTTGATGACAGAGTGCACCATTATTTTTTTAGTTTTAGTAGACACTGACACTAAAAATAATTGTTAAAAACCTAAAGCGTCCAAAATTATCTAATTGTCCACGTCACATTGATTTAACTAAGGAAAATTATCAAACAATAGATAATTTTATTACTGATAGAACCAGCCTCTTTATAATTATCCTTATGATTGAAGGGAAATGCAAAAGTGAATAACTCCCGAGTACCACCTAAGAATTGGTCAAAGGATCCGTTTTTATTTGCCGAAAGGTGAATCTTATTCAAAAATACACTGACTAAGGACAAAAACAGTTGCAGTATTTTCTTCGGCTATAGCCGCAAATCATAAGGCTTGTTCATACTAGGGGTGTCAATCCCAAACCCTTTTTCCAATCCCGGGACTTTTGGTACCAATGTTAACCAATATATAATTCCTTAGTTTTAAAACCAATTTAAAATAAAGAAACAAACAAACTAACGAACGATATCTTTCGGACTTCACACTAGTTGTAGGAATGATTTTCAAGAATTCGTAGGCACTTTGTACCCACGTTTACCCCCATTAACAAATAATTCCATTTCTTTTATCAATCGGGCCTTGGTGAGTTGCAATTTGGACTTAAATAGTACATTGTCTAACAGGCGGAAAAAGCGCTCATTCATAGCAGAGCTCAGTGATCTGAGCGAGGCAGTTAATATGCTTTCTCCGCCGTGTTGTATATTCTATTTTTTTTTCAAGCGTTTAATAATTCCGTACTTACATTTAAATTATCCAGTTTGTGAAATTTTTTTAGGTTTGACGTTTGAAATATTTTATATTATAGATTTTGTACATAAATTTATTCTACAGTAACTTGTAATTTTACATTTTCTTTGCTGATTTTATGCTAAACGCTAAATTGCTATGTAATTTAAATATATTTTCATTATTAGTACGGCGGTGTATAATAATTTGACTTTTATACTGCGTATAAAAATGTATTAAAAAAGTATTTCTAAATATGCTTATGAGTATTATAATATGAAAATTTTCATACCCTTAAAAAAAGTAAATTTTATTTTTTTACGGGATCCCGGGGTCCCGGGATTTTGGGATCCCGGGATTGATACCCCTATAGTTCCTACCGAACATTTTGACTGTTAGATGAACGTCAGGAACATGCGTAATTTTAAAATCACGTCCCTTTTTTAATACATCGCATGCAATTTTGGAAATGCGCATGTCCCTGACGTCCATCTGACAGTCCAAATGTTCAGTGGGAACAAACCTAATTTAAAACAGTTTCCGGAGCCCTAAAACACATTTTCTATGTCGTTTTTCATTTTAGTGTTTGATATTTTTGATTTTTCTAATTTACTTATGTACGTTTAATTAAGGGCGTACTCTAAATGTTAGTTGTCATTAATTGTGTAGACAAAATATGTATTTAAAACTTTTATTTTTTGACAACTTTTACATTTTATTGTTATTTTGTACGTTTAATATTATCTATTAGAAAAATTTAGTGAAATTTATTACTTTATTTAATTTTGAGGGGGGTTTGAACCCTTGAAACACCCCCTCTGAATCCGCCAATGGATATAATGTATTATTAAGTGCATTTGCCTTCATAAACCTTTACGTTATAAAGCCACTTTCCATAAAAGAGCTTTTTGGCAGCTGGTGCTACTTTTAAATATGTAATAAGTACTCGATGAATTTCAATTAAACTTTTAAACTTGCTATCCTGAAAACTATAAAGCATCTTATAGCCCAGGTGTAAAACCTTGCAACAGTTAGTTAAAATTTTGATAAAATATTTAATGTTACAAATATGTATTATCTGAATTTTAAAAATGCTTAGGTACATTATTTAAAAATAAAATGTCAAGTACAGTAGCAGAATCCATATTATTTTCTTGTCAAGTACAAAGAAATATGGTTTTTTGAGTAACGAATAGCAATACATTAACTTTTTACCAAGAAAGTTCATTATATTGCCAGCTGCATTCTTGTTTAGTTCGCATTGTAAATTAAAAAAAACTGAATTAATATTATTTTATATACTCCTACATTGATAAGCTGTGATTTTATGGCGTTTTAGTTAAGGGCTAAAGTTAGCAATAGTGGCTTCTGGGCATTTTAGTCACGGTTTTAAGATAGCTTTATTATAAATTAGGGAAAAGTGAGGTTAAATCTGTTTAAAGTTGACAGATGTCAAATATTTAACAAAAATATGACCGTTCTAACATCACTTTTTAATGTAGAATTATACAGGGTGGCCGATTTATCTGAAGACATTGAAATATTTCGAAAACTACGCATCGGATCAAAAAAAGTTTTGAATAAAATCTGTTCGCCTGGAAGGGGGCCATCCAATGATACCAAAGTCGACCCCTCACCACCACCCCCTGGGGTGGGGGTGGGGGCAACTTTAAAATTCTAAATAGGAACCCCTATTTTTTATTGCAGATTCGGATTTCCCATTAAAAAATAAGTAACTTTTATGGAAAACCTTTTTTTAATTTCTGATAGATGGCGCTGTAATCGCAAGAAACCCTATTTTTGGGAATATCATGAAAAATTGCAGATTCGGATTTCCCATTAAAAAATATAATTAGTGTATACGAGAATTGTTAGGGAATTCAAAATAAATTAAATTAATTAATTCCTTTTGATGTTGGTACAAATTAAAAATATTTATACCTTACTAATGCGTCCAGGTATGTAAAGGGTGTCCCATTAAGATCGCCTATTTTAAAATTTAAAAAAATGCCGTGTTTATTTAAAAAGTTAAAATATTTTTATTGCAATAAAGAGGGAAGACATGGAGGTTAAATATGGAACACAATATCCGATAAATGGCCGCCTCGTTACTGACGGCACACGTTGATTCTTTTGTCAAAATTTTCGATTACATTTTGGCATAGTGCCGGCTCAATTTCATCAATGACCCGTCGAATCTCATGTTTTAGTTTAGGAACTGTTCTTGGGTTATTAGCATAAACCTTTTCCTTTAAAAATCAGCTTGGCCACATCACATCCTCGCGGCGCGAGATAACTCTGCCTTCAAATTTTGTCCTCAATAATTCCATGGTTTCGTTGCTGTGCATGGTCTGCTGTCTTTAAATATTGTGTCAACCGAATCTTGTACGCATGAAATTGCAGGTCTTTGGCCAAAATTCGCTGTAAACTGCTTCGAGAGAGTCTCAAGTGCTGGGAACGGTGGCGAATCGAGGTGGAAGAATTATGTTCAATTCTTTCACTAACTGCTGCAATATTTTCAGCAGACCGAGCCGCACGAACACGGACATGTCTCTTTTTGGTTTGAATGGACCCAATCGTTTCAAATTGCTCGATTAATCGGACCACAGTATGGCGAGAAGGTGCGTTATGGTGACCGAAAAATCCACGATATTTTCAAACCGTTTCCGAAAAATTCTCACCATTTCGATAGTGGATTTTTACAATTTCTATGCGTTGTGCGTTCGTGTAAATCTCCATAACTTAACCTCAATGTTCACACATGACCACTGTCCAACAACAACGCTGTACGATTGACACAAAAAAAATGACACTAAATTTAAAATAGGCGGTCTTAATGGGACACCCTTTACATATGTAGGTATGTTATAAAAACATATTTATACCTTACTTATGCGTCTATAAAAACATATGTTTCGTTTTTATAGACGCAACATTCGCAGTTGATTTAGAAACGTACGAGTGAGAAATGAATGCTGCAACCTTAGAAGAAAAAATTGAAATGATTTTGATTTTCGGAGAATGTAGGCGGAATATTGACGATGCTGTTGCCTTATATGCTGAACGTTTTCCAGATAATATTCGTTCACACTCGTTTTTTTATAAAGTTGTTCAATCCTTTAAATCCGACGGTAGTGTACAACTTAAAAAAAGAAAACGAAGAAACACTGTCACAGGAGAAGCTAATGAAATTAATATGATAGCAGCTGTTCAACATAACCCTCATGTAAGTACTCCGGAAATACATCGGGATCTCGGGATTTCCAGAGATCCAGAGAATCGTCACAAGTATCACCCATACCGGGTTTCACTGCATCAGGAACTTCATGGCAAAGATTTTCATCGGCGAGTAGAATTTTGTGAATGGGCAGTTCAGCAAATACAAAGAAATCCCAATTTCTTCGCTAATGTACTATTTTCAGATGAGTCCAGACTCACAAACCATTGTTCCGTTAATCGGCATAATATGCACTATTGGAGTGTGGACAATCCCCACTGGTTACGAAAAGTTGAACATCAACGTCCCTGGTCGGTTAACGTTTGGTGTGGAATTTTAGGTAACAAACTCATTGGTCCTTATTTCATTGATGGAACCTTAAATGGAATCAAATATCGAAATTTCCTGGAACATGAACTACCACCTCTACTTGAGGATGTTGCCCTGCCCATTCGACAAATTATGTGGTTTCATCATGACGGTTGCCCAGCCCATTACTCAGCAACAGCACGGGAAGTATTGAACCGTGATTTCAATGGCCGATGGATCGGCAGAGGTGGCCCGGTTAATTGGCCTGCTAGGTCACCTGATTTGACATCGCCGGATTTTTTTCTTTGGGGTTATCTAAAAGATAAGGTTTTTCAACAAGCACCAACAACTCGGGAATACATGAGAAACGCTTGTGCTGAAATTCCCGCAGATATGCTCTCCTGTGTACAATCATTTGAAAAAAGAATAAATAAGTGTCTAGAAGTTCAAGGTCACAATTTCGAAAATTTAATATAATTTATTAAATAGTGAGAGGCAGGGGGACTCTCTTAAAACTAGCACCCCGATGGGAACAAAATACTGCGTCCTGGTCCTTGTTCTTGGGTAACGTTAAAAATAGATGTTAACTTATTGATATACGAATAAAATCCAAAAATTAAACAAGTTTTTCTTTTTTTCGATCCGATGTGTAATTTTTTAAGATATTCCCAAAAATCGGGTTTCGTGCGATTACAGCGCCATCTATCAGGACTTAAAAAAAAGTTTTTCCATAAAAGTTACTTATTTTTTAATGGGAAATCCGAATCTGCAATAAAAAATGGGGGTTCCTATTTAGAATTTTAAAGTTGCCCCCACCCCCACCCCAGGGGGTGGTGGTGAGGGGTCGACTTTGGTATCATTGGATGGCCCCCTTCCAGGCGAACAAATTTTATTCAAAACTTGTTTTTGATTCGATGCGTAGTTTTCGAAATATTTCAATGTCTTCAGATAAATCGGCCACCCTGTATATATACGTAAGTATCGGGTTATCGCAACGCGCGCGCCATCTGGTAGACTTTAAAAGCATTGTGTGAGTTTAAGAATAGTCAACAATACATTTAACTGTACATAATTTTTTAATAAAAAGGTATTTTTTCACAAAAGAGAGGAAGGCAGAAGTCTTAAGACTTGCTCGATTAAGCTGTGCAAATGAACAAAATTTGTCAAGTAATTACTTGACAAATTTTGTTCATTCGCACAGCTTAATCGAGCAAGTTATTTGTGTTTTACTTTACAAGGAAAAAACTAAAAAACGGGTTTAGTACTCGATTTTGATTGATTATTCTTTATATCATTGATTACTAAACTCAACGCTTAAATGCTTATATAGTTACGTTAGTGTGTGTATTTTATCTAAGGGATCATGGTGAATTATTGTGTTTTTAATTGTAAATAAAATTCAAGAACTAAATCGTTGCATTTTCATGTTTTGCCAAAGGATCCAATTCAGTAAGTACATTTGTTGGTGCAGAATTAACTAATGATATATAATGTTTTGTTTGTAGTTTTCTCTTATTGTTTTAACTTATTTTTATTTTAGATAAAAATTGACGTCTTGAATTTATGAAGTTTTTTTATTATTTATTTTTACAATAAATAGCAACAAAATTACCATCGAAACCAAACATACACCCGCCGTTGAAATCATGAGATTTCAACAAAGAAAAAAAACTAATTTTAATCAGTTGTTGTTTTGGCGTCAGAATCAGTCGCTAGTTGATCCAAATCACGCTTTGAACCATCGTCAATATAGCGATAAAAGAATTGTGGAAACTGAATCTAGATTGGGATGAATCAATTCCTCTTAATTTATACACTAATTTTGAAACATTTAAAAGGCAAATATTAAATTTGAATAAAATAATAATTCCCAGGCAAGTGACGCAAATAAAATAAGTTTACCTTTTATTAAAATTGGACTAATAAGTCCTAAAGGGTCAAAAACCTTAGCAATAAATGACAAAATTGTGCGTTTTGTAATTTTAATAATCGAAAATACTTCATCGTGAAGTGTATATTTAAAGCTATCCACATTAGAGTCTCAAAGGACACCGAGTATCTTCTGCTCTTTATTATCAGTAATTAAAAAATTTGTATTTTCAACAGAATTTGATTTTTCATTTATGTCTGAATATAATATGCTTTTATTATTCGAATTCCATTTGCGCAAAGAGAATCCAGATTGCTTTAAAATGTTTGAAATATCATTTTTTAACTGCAACGCTTCATTAGCATTATTGCAACCTGATATAAAATCATCCACATAAAATTCATTTAATATTTTATGACAGGCATCTGGGAAACTCGCTTCGAAACCAATTGTCGATTGTTGAAGGCATTTTGTAGCTAAATATGAGGCACTAGCTGTGCCATAAGTCACAGTATTTAAAACATAATGTTCTAGATCCGAATTTGAATTAAATCGCCAAAGTATACGTTGAAAATGCTTATCTACATCGTCAACATTAATTTGTCGATACATTTTTTAGTTAAAGAATCTTTTTGTACGCAATGATGTGGAATATAATAAATATTTTCACACCTATCTGAATTTAAATCAATTTTAGACATATGGCCCAGATTTAGGTATTCAGTAATAAATTCATGATATAACAATTTAAGATTATGGTTTTTATTTAATTTACGCTCAAGGGACATAAACCTATTTTTGGCATTTTGTAAATTTGTGCCCACTTTATTTATATTATTTTTAAAAGGCAATTTAACAACAAAATGACACTGCTTGTCCTTGGAAACAGTATTAAGAAAATGAGCCTGCACTTCACTTTCTTGAGTAGAAAAATTGATTGATTTGTCAGGCAAATCTTCGAATAACCAAAGCTTTTCCAGCAGATTATCAATATTATTTGTCGCACAATGCATTGACATTGATTGGTTACTTGAAATGTTGGTAGCACCTGAAACAACCCAACCTAACTGTGTTTTCTGCAATATTGGTTGGCCTTTAATCTTAATTTGACCAGCGCAGAGTAATTCAAAGAAAATACCTGCCCCAAGCAAAACATCAACCTTATTAGCAATATTAAATTCAGGATATACTAAAGTTATGTTTTTCGGAACATTAACATACGATTTATCAAATGTTTGATTTGGAATATTTCCTGTGATATTTTCAATAATTAAAAAAGATAAATTATTATTATATGAATTGTGAAGAGATTCAAGTTTGGCATTTGTAATATGAGAAACAATATTTTGCGATTGATTAATACCTGTAATTGGAACATTTATTTTGGATTTTGATAAATTCAAATTTTTACACAAATCTTTGGAGATAAAATTACTTTGGGACCCTGAATCTAAGAGCGCTCTGCATTTAACTTTTTCTCCAGTTGAACTAAAAAGATATATTTGGGCTGTTTGAAGCATTATCAATAATTTTATCGGGTATGCACAGTGCGTATTTATAATGCACCCCTCATTATTTATTGAATTGGTAATATTTTTGTTCAAAGACAAAGCATTTTGACTTTTATTTCGCGAGTTTAGATTTTTATTTTGAAAATGTAATACACTGTTGTGCTTTTTTCCACAATGTTTGCAAGGACCGGAGGCGCAATTGCTGCATGAATGTCCTGGCTTAAGACAATTAGTGCATACATTTAATTCCTTGACTTTGGTATACCGATCAAAGGGTTTCAGAGCCAAGAACTGATTACAATAAAATATTACATGCGAGCCATTACAAACTTGGCATTTTGGTACAGAAACTACAGTATTTTCTTCGAACAAATATGTGTGTGATTTGGTAGAAGGTGATTTAACCTCTTTTACTTCCAAATTTTCTAAAGTCTCATACTTATTTGTTAAAAACTTAAGCAAATCATCCAAAGTTGGAATAGATTTACCCTGTGAACATTCCCATTCTTTTTGTGTCTCTAAATTTAATTTAGAAGTAAGAATATACACTAAAATAGTATCTCAATGATCTACAGGCTGTTTAAGAGACATTAAACATCTGCAGTTTGCAGAGAACACGTCGAGAAATTTTCGCAATTGAACATGGGACTCTTTGTAAAGCTTTGGCAAATCAAAAATCTTTTTAATATGCGAATTAACAATTAATTTATTATTTTCAAACCTGTCCTTTAACAAATCCCACGCAATAAAATAATTTTCATTTGAAACTTTTAATGATTGAATAACACAGGCAGCATCACCCTTTAGGGCCGACCTAAGATAATAAAATTTTTGGATATTTGTAAGCTGCGTATTTGAGTGTATCATAAAACTGAACCCAGTCTTCATAATTGCCTGAAAACTCTGGTAAATTTATTTGTGGCAATTTAATGTTAATCTCCGAGTGAGAATGGTTAAACGAAGAAGAAAAAGGAGATTCATCTTTATTAGATAAACGTAAGCGTGTCTTTACAGCACCAACTAAGCTGAAGTAATGATTTTCAACCTCGATACATTCG